TGACATCAACTGGGAGACAAACTCTGCACCAAGTGGAAGATCAAACAGATTCCTTGCAAACCTAGCAGACAACTTTGTCTCCCAAAAAGTAGAGAAGGGAACTAGGGGATTAGCCATTTTGGATCTAATTCTCACTAACAGAGATGAAATGATAGAAGGTGTTGAAGCCACAGGAACCTTGGGAGGAAGTGATCATGCAATATTGGAATTGAACATTAGGGAAGCACAAGCAATAGAACACAGTCAAACTAGAGTCTTGGACTTTAAGAGAGCTAATTTCAATAAACTTAGAGAGAGCTTGGGAAGGATTCCATGGATGAGAATCCTCAAGGGGAAAGCAATTCAAGAAGCTTGGGAATTTTTGAAAAGTGAGATAATAAAAGCCCAGTCTAGCACAATACCAACAAAGAAGAAAAATAACAGCTCTCAAAAGAAACCAGCATGGCTGCATAAAGAACTCTCTGATAAATTGAAAGATAAAAAGGACAAGTATAGAAAGTGGAAAGAGGGGCACATAACTAAGTCAGAATATCAGCAAATAGTCCGAGCCTGCAAAGATGAAGTGAGGAAAGCTAAGGCTCAAAATGAACTAAGGCTTGCGACCAAAGTCAAAAATAACAAAAAAAGCTTCTTTCAACATGTAAAAAACAAGAAAAAGTGAAGGAAATGATTGGTCCATTAGTGGGTGAAAGTGGCAAGAAGGTGACAAGCAACAGGGAGAAAGCAGAACTATTTAACTCGTTTTTTGCATCTGTCTTTACACAAAAAGAAAAAACAGACCAACCTACCAAAAATAGTGCCATAAAAAACAGAATAGAAACACAAGTTAAGATAGGCAAGAAAACGGTAAGTAAGCACCTGTCCAGCCTAGATGAGTTCAAATCACCAGGACCAGATGGATTATACCCCACGGTTCTCAAGGAACTGGCAGATGTGATCTCAGAGCCATTGAACTATATTTTTCAAAGATCCTGGAGCACTGGGGAACTACCGGAGAACTGGAAAAGAGCTGATGTAGTTCCCATCTTCAAAAAAGGGAAAAAATGGACCCAGGAAATTACAGACCTATCAGCCTGACCTCAATACCTGGGAAGATTCTGGAAAAGATAATCAAACAACGAATCAGCGAACACCTAGAGGCAAACAAAGTCATTACTAAAAGCCAACATGGGTTTGTCAAAAACAGATCATGCCAGACAAATCTTATTGCATTCTTTGATCAAGTGGCAAAATTAGTGGCTCAGAGGAATGCTGTGGATATAATTTACTTGGACTTCAGTAAGGCATTTGATAAAGTAGATCACAACCTACTACTTGATAAGATAGAAAAATATGGATTAGAAAGCATCACCACCAGATGGATCTGTAGCTGGCTTACCAGCCGTACTCAGCGTGTGGTCCTCAATGGACAATCACTTAAATATGAGCCAGCAGTGTGCTGCAGCTGCCAAAAAGGCCAACACAGTGCTAGGCTGCATTAACAGAGGGATAGAATCAAGATCACATGAAGTATTAATACCACTTTACAATGCCTTGGTAAGGCCACACTTGGAATACTGCATCCAGTTTTGGTCACCACAATGTAAAAAAGATGTTGAGACTCTAGAAAGAGTACAGAGAAGAACAACAAAGATGATTAGGGGACTGGAGGCTAAAGCATATAAGGAACGGCTGCTGGAATTGGGTATGTCTAGTTTAATGAAGAGAAGGACGAGGGGGGACATGATAGCAGTGTTCCAATATCATGGGGCTGCCACAAAGAAGAGGGAGTCAAGCTATTCTCCAAGGCGCCTGAAGGCAGAACAAGAAGCAATGGATGGAAACTAATCAAGGAGAGAAGCAACCTAGAACTAAGGAGAAACTTCCTGACAGTTAGAACAATTAACCAGTGGAACAACCTGCCTCCAGAAGCGGTGAATGCTCCAACACTGGAAGTTTTTAAGAAGAAACTGGAGAGCCATTTGTCTGAAATGGTATAGGGTTTCCTGCCTGAGCAGGGGCTTGGACTAGATGACCTCCAAGGTCCCTTCCAACTTTATTATTATTATTATTATTATTATTATTATTATTATTATTATTATTATTATTATTATTATTATTATTATTATTATTATTATTATTATTATTATTATTATACAGTTTTAGCTACTGGTCCTTTAAAGCTGTAAAGCTGTACAGGGCTTTGCAAATACATATACTCCAACAGGGCCAGCTCCTAAGTACTATATCAAAGGTTCCCAATCTTGGTCACTTGAAGATATGTGGACTTCACCTTTTGGGAAGTAAAATCCATATATCTTCAAGTGGCCAAGATTGAGAAACACAGCATTATATGACTCAGACACTGGGAACAGAGACCCTGCTTAAAACATATTACAGGCTTTGACCATAGGACTTACTCAAGACATTTCACAAGATGTGAAAATGTCTGTACTGAAGGGATGTCCCCCAATACTTCATGAAATTACATAAGTATTTTATGTCATTCTTTCCAAAAATGGCCAATTTGATTTTAATTAAAGAAATATCAACAAAACAGTTTGCAGATAATTTGTGGACAAATCTGCCATTTTCTGTTTGCTCAGGGCAACTTGTATCTGAAGAAGCATGAAATGTAGCTCTATCTATAATCATTATTGGCTTCCATCTATTGACATGAGCTGTTTCAGATCCCAAATTTCAAAGAAAACCTCAAATGGGCAAGCTGGTACACAAGTATTGTGGAGTAGATCCTGGACCCAAAAAGACAATGTCTCTCGCATCATTTCTGGGTAAGGGCTGCCATCTTGGAATGACCTGCTGGAGACCATGCTTATCTCCAAACTAAATTTCATTTCCACTTGAATCAAATTTGAATCCCATTAAATCCCCCACATTAATATAATGGGGGGAATAAAGGCAGGAGTTTACCGCCCTCATGTTTTGTTTTGCAGCTCCCCACAGGATGAATTATTTGGCATTATGTGGAATTAATTAAACACAGGCAGGAGGATTACCTTGCATGCATTTAATAGTTTTTATCTTGCCTGAAGTTAATAATTACTGTTCACTGGCAAGGATCTGAGACATTTGACAGGCATACCTAAGACCTTGAGGTATGAAGTTGCGCAAAATGGTGGTTTAGAAACACCTGATTATTCTGGGAGATAAGAACTAACTGCAAGGCTGCTGTCCAGAATGAACATTTCATATCACTATACTGTTGCTGCACAATAGAGAAATAAACTTGTTTGCTTGCATGATATACAGGCATCATGTTCAATCATGTTGGTACCTACCAGTAATTGTGTAATTCTTGTTTCTCTTTTTAAAAAAAAAAGGGGGGGGGAGAGAGGATTCACCTGAAATGTGCCCGTGACATCAAGTCTAAAAGAAACATCTGTAATTGCTATACATCAAATCAAACAATTGGTTCCTCTAGCTTAGTATTATCCACTGTGGAAGCACAACAGTTTTTTTGGATGAAGGCCACATTTGGAATGATATGCTTGGGACTATAGGAATGGGGCTAAGACAGGGGTCCCCAACCCCTGAGCTGCAGACTGGTACCAATCCCTGGCCTGTTGGGAACTGGTCCGCTCAAGCGGCGGGCAAGCAAACAAAGCTTCATTTGCGCATGTGCAGGTACTAGGTGGCATGCATGAAGCCATTCCCTCCTCCCTGCCACTGCTGCTGCTGCCGGTCCGTGGAGTCAGAAAGGTTGGCTATGACACAAACTAGAATTAAATAAAGGACAATTAAAAGTTAGGTCTTTGAGGGTTATACCCAAAACTTTAAATGGTCATAGGGCCACAGGTTATATAATATAGTCGTCCAGGTTTCTGAAAGGGCATTTACCTCTCTTTCTTGATGATCTACAGATTGGGAACTTTTCCATATAAAGAAATCTATTCTAAAGGAACTGAAAGCTATTATTTTACAGTTCTCTGTTACTGATTTATCTTCCAGACATTTAACATCATCAGTCTGCAGAGTTCCAGGTCATCATAACCTCCATTTCAAAGGCAGTTGTGTTTATAATTGTGGGGACTATTTGCTTATAGCTTACAGGAGTAACCAGATTGAGGGCTATAATGTCACAGGGCCTATATTTAACTTCCTAGATTCACACAAAAAAGACCCAAGGAGCAATTCACTAAATTCCATAGTAAAGATGCTAACATAATTTTTTGCTATGTGGCCTTACATAGGACCTGCTAAGTATGATTTTACTTTTTTAAAGGATCCAACTATAACAAAAGGAAGAAATTGTCCTAAAAAGCAAGCATTCTCACAAATGTAATGGTTTGGTTTCTAACATGAACAATGAAGTCTCCGTTGAGCCCATTTTGGAAGAAGGAAGCAAGCAGAAAGCATTGAAAATGATCTACTTGACAATTGGCAAAAAAGTCTCTTTTCATTTAATATGAGGACAAAGTCTAAAAATCCCCCACTGCCTTGCATCTGAATCACCAAGTATTCAAAATTACAATCATATTAGTATTATGGCTATTTTAACACACAGATATACACATTTCCTAGAAAGTGCTTGTGTATTCAATTCACTATATATTAATGTACTGGTCGAAATAAGAACAGAAGTGTTTTGTTTTGGAATTTCCCACAAGCTGCAAGAATCTGTTGCCACTGCAAATCACACTGAATGCACTGAGACATGGAATACTACTACCTTGGGTGGTAATTTGATTTTACATTGTTACTCATTCAATAATTGAGTCCTAGTTGCAAGAAATACTAGGAAGAAGAGGTTCTTAGAGGAGGGATGTTACGTACTTCATTTTTCTACAGGGAGAGGGGGAAAATACTATCTGGTTGCTTTGTGAAATTTGTATTGATTTGCTGTGGTACTTTCATCCTTTGTTTGCAGAAGAAATTGGCAGAAGAAACGTACATAGTATAGTGATCCCAGCTTGGCTTCGATGCATGGTTTTATTACATCATATTATACCTCACAGTGACATATTAATTTTGTCAAATTCAACTGACAATGTGTTAATTACCTTTCTATTTAGAGCAACACCATCTTCACAATCTAGCACTGCACAATCAACGTTGAGAGTTGGAATCTTCTGTATCTTTCTTACATCATCTGCAGGCACATAGAGAACAGCTCTCCGGGGTATGTAGCTGCAAGGTTGTGTCACATGATAATGAAGTCTGGGAAAAGCTACAGGGAGGAGAGAAGTGGTCCTGTAAAAAAAGAATCCCAAAGCAGTTAATAATAATAAAGACTAACAATTATTCAGAATAAAAATAGAGCTCAAAACAATCCTTTGGAAAGCAAACATTAACAGGGTGGGAAGGACTAACAGCAGAATAAAAATAAAAATAAAAAGGTGGAGTTAAAAAATGCACCAAGAGGCTAGTTCGCTGTCAGTATTAGGTAATATTTTTCTTCTTAAATGGCCAGAGAACTTGTTTTATTTAACAATAAAGCTTAAATCTGAATATCCAAATTTCACTTTTCAAAGAACATTTCATATTGCTGGCAAGATCTTACAAGAAGGAAACCCAAGGCTTGATCAGCTGAGCGTTCTATTCCCTCAATAGTCAACCAGGTGCCTCTGAAATTCCCACCAGAGAACTCCTTCTTGGCCATGCCTTCAAAAGCATCCTTTTCTCACTACTAGACATAGTACCTACATATCTTTTGCTCTGGGAAGTTGCCCAACTTCCTTTTAAAGCTATAAAACAGATGTCCCTCCTGCTGAGTGATTTCAAGTTACTTCATACTTTACCCTTTTTCAATATACAGCCAAAATGTCTGATGTAATTGGAACAGATTTGTGGTAACACTGGCTTGGAACATTATAATGTGCAATTTGGACAATAGGTTGATCAGAGCTAATTCCTAAAGGTGAAAGAAAAATTCTATGGGGAGAGCTGCTATCACTCCCTAGGTTCCTATTTTTTAAAATATAATTTTTATTAAGAATTTTAACTGCAGTAGTAAAACCTAATGCAAACTAAAGTTAAAAAAGAGAAGAGAATGGAAAGAATAAAAAATACAAGAAAAGAGAAAAAGAAGAGAAGGAGAAAATATGGTAAAAAAAGAAAAAAATATATAAAGATGTGATTTTCAACCTTCATTACAACAAGTATAAACTATTCAAAAATCACCTTGGAATATAATTTTAATAAAAATGAATAAATTTAGTCAGTCTTCATCTCCTTCATCTCCTATAGGTTCAACAGATATCTCTTCATCCTATATCCCATCCATAATATATAAGCAAATCCATAAAACATCAGCTTTACAATTCTATTGTCAGCAAAAAATCCATAAAGGGTTGCCACAACATTGAAAAAAATTACAGTCTTAATTTTCAATTTAACCCAATATTGTAGGATTTGATTTCCCTTTAATTTTTTCCCTCTCCCAGCATTCAAACTTTCAGAAAACCATTGCCCTGAAGCACATGTGGGTGATTTCCTATCTTATCCTTATCCAGAGGGCTTCCAAGGAACTGCCCTATTTGCTGGTACCTTAGTCTTTGCTGTGGTTGCTGGCTCTACTTTTGCAGAGCTGACTTTAGTTCACTAAAAGTCCAACTCTTTACGGTAGTTGATTTTGGCTGCTCTTGAAAGGCTAAATGGGGTTGGGCTAGTCCAGGGGTAGGCAACCTTGGCTCTTTTATGACTCGTGGACTTCAACTCTCAGAATTCCTGAGCCAGCTATGAAGTCCATGAGTCATAAAAGAGCCAAGGTTGCCTACTCCTGGGCTAGTCCATGGATAGGTGACCTCAGAAAACAGAAGAACTGTAGTCTAGATTCAGAAGTTGAAAACAATCCTAGAAGAAGACAATAGCAAACCTTTTTATAACATTATACCCAAGAAAAGTACATGGACATGTTAATAAAGGCACCAGGAGTTGAGTTTAATTAGAAGGATATTATTTAAAAAATTATATTTGTTTTTGTTTACGGGATTGGATTCTTTTGGGGGCTATGAATTTGATTATAGTAGAAGTAGATCATGAAATTGCTTAAACTTCTCCCTACTATCCATTTCTGCAATAAACACTGCCCCCCCCTTTCCTCCCACTCTTCTTGCAGGATAATTATTCTCTCTATATTTTGGTCATACAAGTGGAGAACAGTTGAAGTGGGACATGATTTTGATAACAAATATTTTCAGATTAAGGCTGTGAAAATCCTTCAAAAGAACGATGGTCAAGATTCACCTCTCTTCAATCAATTAAAAGTCATGATTTTTTTCTTGGTTTTTACAGCCTTTTCATAAACTGCTTCTGGCTGTTTAAATGTGTATGTCCTTGAACAAAAGCACCTGTCTTCATATCATTAAAACAGCCAGGTCTTTTCCAAGGCTTGTAGCCTTCTCTAAAGGTGATCCCACTTACCCATGAAGATACAACAGTACAAAGCAGATGTGCTTATCAGGAAGGCAATTGGGCTGAAAGATTGGATTTAAATTGGGTTGAAATAGTTATTTTATTCTGTTTAAGGTAACCTGGTCCCTAGTTGCAGGATACAGTAAAGGATTTCCCCCCCTGTAAATATGAGACTAATTCTAACCACAATTGGGTATAGCTTTTAATTTTATTCTGCCATCTTGAAGTTTTCGGGCTTTTAGATATAAAGCAAAAGAACCATAACTTCATCTACTTTCCAAGTCATAGGGAATAGTTTCTTCTCATTTATATTCCTCACTATTCATCTCTGTTGTCTTGGAGGTCCTCAGAAAGTCTTCTTTTTGAATTCCAAACCACTATCTGAGCTGCTTCCTGTTGTTCAATTCTGTGATCAGAGTTGCATCAATGAGGACTACATTAATGTCAACGAGGACAGCATTCTAATATACCAAATATTCTCCAGAATGACTTCTAACAATTGTTCAAATTAAGCACCTTTGCTGATTTTCAATAATGTGGCGTTAGTGCCACCCCTCCCTCTTGCTTGACAGATTTTAGAGAACATGATGGTAAGATTTTGAAATGACAAAATCCAATTAAATATCCGCTCTCATGAAAAGAATGACATTCTCTATAAACACTGGAGCTTGAACAAATACAACTGGCTCTACAAATGAATGAATAAAATAAAAATCCAAATTGACTTTTCCTCATTCATGGATACAGCCGCAAAATAATGTGGATTGTTCTTGCAATCCTAGTTACTGATGTAACATTTTACATCATTCTGTTGTTTTTCACAGCATTAGCAATAATGAATAGCTAAAATATCCCAGATCATATATGTCTAATTGCATATACATTTGTCCCCATGCACATTTCAATTTACTTCTGGGGATAATGTTTGTTAATTGTACTTCCTTTGTACCCTGGTGGAGAGGGAAAAAAAGCTTCTTACTCATAAAGGGGCTAAGTGTTCTCTTCTTTCCCTTTGTTCACACAAGGAGCTAAAGTCACTTCAAGAGGCACTTAATCCCATCATCCATGGTTACAATTGCCTTATAGCTTTAGTAAAAAAGAACCTGAAGTAAATGCAGCTATATTGTGTAATTAAAAGAAATTCAGGTGGTTATTTGCCTGGGGCATGTTCTTGGTACTAATACATAAAATGGCACTCCAGGGATCCTAAATACTGTAGTGTTTTAAACCTGATCAGCTACAGTATCATATAGATCAAGAGGAGGGGAATGCAAAAAGAGAGAGAGAAAGAGAGAGAAGAAGAAGAAAAGAAAGCCCCCTGTCCTAGTGTGTATTGTAAAGCAAAAGAATAGAGGAGGGTGTTCTACTGTTTGAAGTGACAAGAACTTACAAACATCTATATGAAAGGGAAATAAAAATATTAAGAACGACAAAGAATCTGATGTTTTAAAGAAGAGTCCAGTCATTTCCAAT